GTCTCCCATAAATATATTAGAATTATACAAGATTCCTTGAAAGTTATAACCACAAAATAACTTGATTCCATGATCCTCTATCAATATCAAACAATGTATAAAACAAGGAGATGTTTGCTCACTGAAGATGCTTGCTCCAGTCATGGAGGACCCAAATGCAAGGGGGACTCCCAATAGATGGTAAAATCTTCTGCATGCTCATTTGAGGATTACTTTGTGGCTACTGTTTCAAGACCTAGAATACTATAAGGTCTTCTTAATGGGAATGAGCTAGTTATACACACAGTAACAGCTGACTGGAGAATATCTATTTACTCAAACTATGACCTGCAGTTGGATGGGTCAGTGTATCAGTACATATTGCAGATGGACAACCAGCTGGGCCCAGAATTGAGAAGGGGGAAGAATTTTGGATGAATTCTGTTTGGAAAATTGTGTAGTACTCTTGGTGATCCCAAGTTGCTCTTTAACACAAAAACCATGTTTTTAATACCAGTATGTTTTTTTTTAGCTACATGATTCAAAATCATTCAACATACTATAATCTTGGAGAAATCAGAATGCTGAGTGAAGGTGGTGGGTGTAAGTATGCTGCAATATATTACCATGACGACTTATTCTCAAGAAGTGGAAGAAAAAGTATCTCAAGGAAATGTATGATTGGGCAAGAAGATAGGCTGGCTATAAACAGAGAACACGGGATAACAGCTGCCCAAGGGTTGTATTGGTAGCCAATACTGAGGCCTAGAGGAAGTCTTCCAGCCTATGTAGATCCTTTATGGAGGATTTATGGGTAGATATGGGTAAGAATCACACAGGATGAGGAGTGGATGGATCACAATCAGCACCCCTTAGGCAAGTACCCATATTGATGAGATTACTAGTCAACCGAGGTTTTAAAAGGTTTCAATTTAGGATATTCATTGAAATTGTATCATGGAGAACTTTGAATACCAAGCTAAAGCTGGTTTGAATTAAATATAGTGGGCAATTGAGAACTAATCCCTGCACAATCTGTGCCTAGTTGGTGGAGATAGGAATATTTTACTAAACTTGATCACACAAGGGAATTGTGGATAATGTGCCTTTACCTCTTTTGAAAGATGTTATGAACTTAAGATGTTCCATTTTGCCTTATAGCTATTTGTGGATCTGTTTTATCTTCTCTTAAAGATAAGTGCCTTGTTGAGAGTAGGATGATATTTATTTGACCCATAGGACCTAGCATATAACTTTGCATATAGAAGGTGCTTTATACATATTTGTTGAATTGAAGTGGAAAATGTCTCTGTTTCTTGGGAGTGAGTTTTCCATAGAAGGCTGACTCTTTGTCTCATCTTGTGTAGACTGTAATGACCACAATCAAATGCTTAGAATGAGTCACCTCTTTTATTTTTCCTTTTTCAGAAACATTTGCTCTGCTTGCTGCTTTTCTTCCTTTCACTGAATGTGAGGACTCTATCACACTATGGAAGAGCTGCTCAGAGAAACATCAGAGGTGTAAAAAATGGCATGTATTGTTATTGCATTGTCCTCTCTGGTCTAAGGTAAGCATGAGGATTTTGGTGAATACTTCTGAGACCTTTCTTGTGACTTTACCCAATGAACCATGGTAAGATAAAAGAACACCAGATTTGAAGTCAGGAGAATTGGATTAATATTTCAGTTCTGCCACTTACTAGCTATGCAACATAGGCAAATCATGTAAGTTCTTTGAACCTCGGTTTCATCATCTGTAAAATGGGGTTAACATTTACACTACTCACCTCATAGGATTGCTGTGTGAGTTATTGATCTTCCATTATGTAACACATCCATATATGAACAGGACTCTTGTGAACATAGAGTAGATGGGCCTATCTCTGAAGATGTTCAGTATGCCCTACTACTTTCCTATCTTTTTTCCTTTCTTCTACCCAAGAGAGTAGGTGGCAAGAATGACAGTGTTGTAGTGATAGAATCATTACTAAGCTGGGTAAATGTGTATGAAATTTTAGCTGTTAGACCATACTTTGACGAATCTGTATTCTTATCAATGTAAGTACTCCCTCCATAGATGCAGATATCAAACTTGTAACAGTCCCTCAACCCATAACTATTCTTTCTTATGTTCTGCAACTCTTATCTATGTACTTCCATAAGTCCGTCAGAGAAGAGCTACTCAAAGTGTTGGAGGCTTTTCTTTAGATTAAAAAAACTATTTCAGAGATACCAGTACAACATCTGAACTGTCATCCATTGCTCTTGCTCTTGCACATTTATAGTCGAACAAGTTCTTTTTGATGTCTTTTCGTCCACTTTTCTCACAGCAGTCCTCAGTAGTAATATAGTACAGCCTACATGTATCGTTACTTTTGGGGTAATTCTTTTAGATAACCTCCAAATCTGACTTTCTTGAGATCATAGTGCTCTGTCATTCATAGCCATACAGCATCACTGGGGTAACATTAATGTTAAAAGATGGGGTCAGGGAACAGCTTAGAGTCATTGAAAATGCTGTACAGCTTCCTGAATGGAATTTAGCTAGCTCTCCTACTTTTCAGTTCTGAACCTAGTTCCATTGCTTGTTTGCAATGACTTTCTAAGATATACAGTTTGCCTATTTCAAGGGGTCACCCACCCAATTATGTGTCACAGTTTAGACAATATGCATTCTTTATTCACTTAGGCTGTGAGTGTATGTGTGCACATGTATGTGTTTGTGTGCTCACACGTGCTGTTATTCTCTGCTCAACTGAATTTCATTCAGGAGGAGGCACTATAGTATAATGAATCAAAGAATCTGACTTGGAAGATACCTAAAAGGCCATCTAGTCTAACCTGTCCATATTTGTCATATGATCATACAATTTTGCTTGAAGACCTTCAATACTGAGATGTGTTCAGGGGAACCTACTATCTCTTGGGTAGCACATGTTTCCTTTGGATGGCTATATTTATTAAGGAATTTTCCCATGCATCAAGAGAATTTGGAGAAAATCACCATCTATAGGGAATCCTTCTTCCATTTGGACAGTGGTCTGGATATCCTCTGTGACAGTGGCAAAATTTTTTTGGACAGGTTTTATGTCTTGCTTGATATTGATAATCAAAAGATAGTTAAGTAAAACTATCCCTGTGTGATTTTGTCTATCAAGGAATTTTATATGATCTTAACATATGATGGTCAGCTTGTCTGCTATACTGTATCAACTGAAGTCAAGATAACTAGAGGAAGCCCCTAGCATTCTGGGTCAGCCCTCTGAGGAGGATTTATGAGAGGGCATGGACAAAGGTCAGACAGCAAGGTGGCACAGTGGATAGAGTGCTGGGCCTGGAGTCAGGAAAACTCATCTTCTTGAGTTCAATTCTGGCCTCAGAGACTTACTAGCTATGGAACACTGGGCAAATCATTTAACCCTATTTGCCTTAGTTTCTTCATCTGTCAAATAAGCTGGAGAAGGAAATGGCAAACCACTCCAGGACCTTTGCCAAGAAAGCCCCAAATGGGATCACAAAGAGTTGGACATGACTGAAAAATGGCTGAACAACAACAAAAATGGACAAAGGTCGCACAGAATGAAAAAGAAATGGAAGGATTGTGTTCTTCCCTAATGGAGATGGTACATATATTGATGAGATTCAATATTCACTAAATCATTAAAATAAGAGAAAGTGGGCACATAGGTTTGTAGTTGCTGATGTTTTTCTGAGTTACCTTTTTCTTTTTTGTTGTGATACCATCTGTGATCTTTTCTGGTCTTTTGAGATCTTCCCCTCTTGGTGATATCTTTTTTTTTTTTTGGTGGCAATGGGGTTAAGTGACTTGCCCAGGGTCACATAGCTAGTAAGTGTTATGTGTCTGAGGCTGGATTTGAACTCAGGTCCTCCTGAATCCAAGGCCGGTGCTCTATCCACTGCACCACCTAGCTGCCCCTCTTGGTGATATCTTCAAAAACAATCCCTGAGTGCTCTTAATGTTGTCATACCTCCAGCACAATTTTTTTTTTTACTATTTATATTTAGTATGTCCAGCTACTCTTCTCAACTTCATTTTCTTAAGGACATCTCTACTCTTTTAAGTAGCTCAGCTTGTAGAAGTACTATTGTTCAAAATTAGTGTTTCTACTGTCATCAAGCATGAGAATTTCCATAGAAAAGCTAATCCGTTTTATTTCTTGCATATTTATTGCCTTCTAGTTTGTCCATGAGTGCTTTCAGGATGAGCTGCCATAGGTGGGTTTCAAGCTTTCTGTAGTCTTGCTTTTACCTTCCATTGTTTTTTTTTTCTTTTCTGATTTCTGAGGTGACTTGTTTTCTTCTTCCTTGCTCCAGCTTTTATCTTCCTCCTTTTGTAATGTTTTGCAAATGTGATTATATTGGTGTTGTTCTTGGCTGTCCTTTCTGTTTGGCAAAGACATCAAATGTTTGCTGGCTGAGGTGACTGCTGGTATTATTTTGGTCTTATTAACTAAAGTTCTCTAAGACATAGTAGCAATCAAGCCAATGTCTTTCCTTTCCAGGAAGATCACTTCTCTCCCTGATGAGGCAGGTATCTGAAGAAGACTTTTGTGGGTCTCTTAGCTTTAAGCAAATGTCAGCTGTTACATTGGTGTCATTTCCTGTGTTACCATGCCACGATACTTATGAAGCTCTTTACATGAGATCTGTGAATATATGTAGTTCATACTAGTTTCTATGATTCTGTGTTGGACCTTACTCTGCAACACCCTTGGAAAGCATAGGACTTCTATTCTGGATTAATATTTAGTTCAGTCTTCTCATTTTGGAGATGAGGAAACAAAGGCTGAGACTTCAGGTGAGACGATTTACTTAAAGTCACATAGCTGATTAGGTTAGTCTCAGAGACTGAGGGAATTTAAAATGATGCCAGTTCAGCTAACTTTAGATTAACACCCCTCCCCAACCTCCAAATATACATATATTCAAAGCAGACTCAGTACCAACCTCCCCTCCCCTGCCCATCCCACCCTAAATGGGTATAACCATTTCCTATCATATACAACCTGGACATTGTCCATGATCTTGTTGGGGTTCTACCAGAAGTGACATTTCATTCAAATGGATGGCACTTCTACCAGAAATGACATTTCATTCAAATGATCTTTCAGAACACTTGGTAAGAAAGGGGCAAGCCATTTTAAGAAAACTAACAATGACTTGGAAACTTGGTACCCTTAGGCTGTGTTAAGGATGTAATGTTGTATAATTTTGGAGCCACATAGAGGAGCAGTGATTGCTATGGATGCCACTGCAGCACGAGGGCACTTCAGTTCTGCTCCATGCAAGTTCTGCATCTTCTCAAACACTTGGCAACATTCTAAAGGACCAATCTAGGATCTACAATAGCACTTACCAACATAGGGCCAGGTAATGATGCTTTAGAAAGCTTCTCCCTGGAGTGAGATAGGCAAGGTGGGGGAATTATAGGAGCAGTGATGTGATATAAGTGGGAACAAATAAACAAACATGAAATATAAGCCTAGAAATCAGTAATACGTCCTCTAGTTGTCATTCTACTACTGATTTGACCCTGGGGAAGAGGTAGCGAGGGTTTTGGTTGAAAACATATTTTTGTCTGCTTGTGCTTACATTTCAGAATCACTGAGAGCCTCAGGGTCTCATGGTACATATTGTCCCAGAACCACAGAAACTTAGAAGCCTAGAGGTGGAAAGGACTTTAGAGATCGGTCAGTCCAACTCATAATTGAGTTGTAACATTTCTGTAACATTTCTGACAAATGGCTATCCAGCCCTTGCTTGAACACCTCTAAGTGATGGAGAGTTTGTTATCTTACAAGATGACCTAGCTTATTTTTGGACAGCTCTAATAGGATTTCTTTCTTATACTGAGCTGAAATCTACCTGCCTATAACACTCCATTCATTGATCCAGATTTTCTATCCAAGACTAAATCTATGTCTCTTTACACTTGGCAGTCCTTCAATATTTGAAGACAATGATCATTTAATTGAACAAACATTTATTATGCATCTATTATATGCTAGGCTTTGTCCCCCTTAAGTTTTCTGTTGTCATGTAGATGATGGAAGAAACTACTAAATTTGTACTAACCCTATGACATATACTGGAAATCCTTCATATCAGCTCACCAGACATTTGTTTCCCTCAAGACAGTGGGATGTCGAAAGTGATTTTGGTTATTTGGTTTTTCTAGCTGTATGGATTCTGGATAGATAAGAGATATAGGCAACAGTTTGTATGAAAAAGGTCTGGGGCTCTTAGTGAACTGCAAGCTCAGTATCAATCAACAGTGTGGCACCGTGGCCCAAAAGGACCAAGACTACCTTAAGCTACATTAATAAAAGCACAGCATCCATAAGGAGGAACTTCTGCGCCAAGAATGACTCTGTATGCTACCTTCACTCCAGGGCTGGAATTCATCTTGGACTTTTTTTTTTTGGACTGTGAATACAGATCTCTTTGCCCCACAAAGATAAAGCACAAAACATCAAAACATGGGATTCTTTGGCTTGGCAACATGATGAGTCTTAAGTCCTCTGATGTACAGGATATGTTGTTAGTATGTTGTGTATCAAGGGATTTCTAGAAGACTCACTTTCCCTAATGTACTTTTAAGGTATAGATTCTCAAAAGCTAACAGCCAAAAAGCTGGAGTGTAGATCCTTTTGGAGACAAAGAGGAATGCTCTCAAATCAGTTCTGAACATTCACAGCCTGAGATTCCTTTGTCCTGGAATTTGGAGGTGAGTATGGCAAAGTGAGGAAGAGTTAGTGTTTATCACCTCCAAGCAAGAAGCCCAAGAGAAACTGGACAGCACGTTGGTGATTATTCTGAGTCTGTCTTGCCTTTAGATTGGGTGGAGGCCGCAGTAGAGGACTTGAGAAAAGATTAGCAAGCATATTGGCATTAATGTTGTTAGTTTCAGAGTGCTTTAAGAGTTCTTGAAGGAAAGCTATAAGGTACCAGAAAACGTTTCTGTGGCACTGTGGAAGGTGTGAAATTACCTGTTGGCAGAGGCTGAAATCATGTGAACAGTCAAGACATCGTTGATATAGTTCATAACAGATAACAGGCTCTGGCAGAGCTTCCAGGAAGATGAGAAGTGTTTCAGCTACTGAGTGATTACTGCCAGGTACTGTCTTAAGAATGCTAGTGTCCAAGGAATCAATAATTTGCCGAACTTCTTTTTGTGATCCAGGCCTCTGGAACAAATCCTTCTGGTCACAGGCATGCTTATATAAGTGGTCCACTAAGAGCCAGAGTTCCTTGGGAATTTGAAGGGGTTTTTCACTGATACTGTCCTCCAAAGGAGTCACCTCCAAGTCTATGAGTTTAGAAACAGGAACTTCTCTGATTGGTCTTCTCATTTGGCACAAAGTTTCCAAGGGTGTGCCACAACAACTATGGAGATAAGTGCCACTGATAGTTAAGAAGTAATCTTTGCTTTGATCCAAGTGAAGGATAAGAATGTCTTTAATACTATCTTCCCCTGAATTCAGGACTGGCACAGAATCTTTGTTAACATACACACTCAAGGAAATATCTAATGACTTCTTTGGCTCCAAGTAGCCCTCCCGGGGCTTAGCTTGAAGCCATGGTTTGCAGTACTGCCTAACACCAAGCTTAGAGATGAAGGAAAAATGACAGGGAACCTGACCACTGTTGGTGATCTGGAATTTCTGCTTTTGCAGTTGCCGAAATTTCACATTTTCAAACACAAATTCTCTCTTGCTGAGTGTTATTGAAGGGAGTAAGTGATTTTCCATTCTGTCCATGAGTTGAACATTGTCTTCAAATACCTTTTGGTATTTCCTGTCATCTACAACCTTCACTCCAATGAGGAACAGAGAACTGACAGGTTTGTGGTCACTGATTTTCAGCCCCATATGACTCTGGTAGCGGAGCTGAGTAATGTTTGCCCCTCTCCAAAGTATTCGGTCACACCATGCTGGAACACGGCACTTCCCACTGGAATCCCACCCATCTGTTTTGCTGTCAAATTTGTATGTGGGGATAAACCTAATTTCTCCTTCTGTAAAGTCAGCAAAAGCTTTCTTGTTTGCACGCTGAATATTTAGCTGGTCTAGCTTTAAGAGCTTCTGAAGGTCATTCCTACTAATAAGCCTTTTCACTTCTTTGGCATTATATATGTAAAGCCTGTAGTTTAAATCTCCCAACCAAATGACAATATCATGTTTCATGATATTCAGGTGACCCTGATTTGGGACAAGGAAACTCATTCGGGCACAGATGTCCTTATAATCCTGATTCCTACCTTCAACATCCTCCACCTGGGCAGCCAGGTGGGAATTGACGATGCAAAACGTAGTGTTGTGGAACATAAATCTCACAGCAACAGCTCCTTTATTCCCCATTTTCCCCATGAGTCCAGTTCCCACGGTGTCTGTGGCAACATCCTGGATATACATGCAATGCTCTCTTCTGGCAAATATCAGTAGCATCATTCCAACCAGGCGGACTAGCTGTACTTTCTTATACTTAGACTTGAAATGCAAGGCTTGTTTCACGGATGCCAGCCACTCATGCTCTTTGGTGGATTCCAAGTAGAAGAATGCCTCCATGCTCAAATCCAGCTCTTGGAAGCCAAGGCAGTAAATGTCTGGAGGGTCTCTATCACAATTCAGCCACAGTTCTAACCCACTGTCTGGGGACTGGCCATTCACATTCCACGTTCCGACAAAGAATCTAAACTTATGAAAATTGACATATTCCTTTTCTCTCTTTGCTGCAATAAGCCTGATGAGCTCCTGCCGCATTCTGGGCTGGACGGTGCGCCCGAAGAGCTTCCTCGCGGTGCTGGTCACTTTGGAAGGTTCTTTGCTTTCATTTCCTTTTTCACATGGGCGCATTCTTCTCACTGGACGGGCTGCGGATGGGGATTCATCACGAGTCTTCATCTGGCGATACGGCACGCTTCTTTTCTTCTCCAAACTCATGGCTGTAAGGTGATTTCCAAAGCCAAATATCCCTTCCTGCGGGGCAAGGATCTCCTAAGGAAGCCAGTCAAGAAGCTCATCAGGGATTTCAAAAGGGCCCTCCACCTTCGGGCAGTGCTGGTTGTCTTCCTCAGTTGTGGGCGGTTCCATCTGGAGAGCTGGTGACTTCCCGGGTCACGTGGGCGGGCTTGACCAACTGACCAGCGTCAACTTCCAACCGCACCTCGGCACTCTTCTCGGCACACGCCCGAGCTCTCACTCCCGCGAGTCTTCAGGGGCTCAGGAGGCGGGGCCGAACGTGTCTGTGCTCTCCCGCTTCTGAGCCCTGCTTCCGAGGATGGACTACATCTCCCAGCAGGCCTTGCGTTCCGGGACTGCCTTCACTTCCCGGCGAGCACCTGGCTCGATTGACCGCATGTTGCAGGAGGCCCTCTCCTGGCTGGGCTTGTGTTGTGGCGTGGGGACAGCCTTGGATTGGTGGAGGATTGGTTTTTTAAATTTAATATTAATTTAATTTTCAGTTAACAAGGATTAATATTTTTCTCTTTCTTATCTTAAGTTGAAAAGAAAAAAAAAAGAAAAAGAAAGACTAACAAACCCTTGTTTTGTGTGGTCAAGGAAAACAAATTCTCCATATTGGTCATGTCCAAAAACTCAAGTGTCTCATTCTACATATTAGTTCATTAGTGGGTGGTATAGTTCCTCAATGGTCCTCGGGAATCATTGGCTGTTTTAGTGATTAGAGACTGAAGATTCGTTTTGGACTTTTTTTTAAATCTTTTTTTTTTTTTTTAGTGAGGCAATTGGGGTTAAGTGACTTGGCCAGGGTCACACAGCTAGTAAGTGTCAAGTGTCTGAGTCGAATTTGAACTCAGGTCCTCCTGGCTCCAAGGCCGGAGCTCTATCCACTGCTGCCACCTAGCTGTCCCAATTTTTTTTTTTTTTAATAATCTGTAATCTCCCAATTGAAGAAAAAGGGTAGTGGGAAAGAAATCAATCTCTTTTGTCAGTGAATAACAAAGAGAAAGCAGTGATCATAAAAGCACCAGCATGACTGGTTTTTTTTGTAATAAATATACCAGACTAATCTTATTTTCTTTTTTTGACAGCTTTACTAAACTGTAAATCAGGGGACTGAAGACCTCAGTTAAGGTCCTGCTTACCATCTGTGTGACCTCGGGCAAGTCATTTGGTCTGGGCCTCTGTTTCTTGGCTGTAAAATGAGGGAATTAGACTAGATGGCCTCTGGTCCCTTCCATTTCTAAATCTATGAATGATTAAAGCAATATAACCTACCTAGATTTTTTAGCAAAGTGTCTCATGCTAGACAAGATGGAGAGGTATAGGCTAGTACATAGATGAATTCAGAACCAGTTAAATGGTTTGACCCAAAGAATAATAATGAATGGCTATATATTTCATTAGCATGTGCACTCACTGAGAGCAGGGAATTTTCACATTTTTTTGTTTTTTTGTATCCTCAGTGTACAGCACAATCCTTGGCACATAGAAAAACCCTTAGTAAATGTTTGTTGACTGTTTAACGTATCAGCTTGGAAAGTTCTCCAGGGGAGTGCCCCAGGGATCAGTCCTGTGCAATCAATGATTTACACAAAGGCTGCTTATTAGATTATCAGATGATAAAAAGGTAGCTCAGTTATCCAACCCATGGAGAATCACAGCCAGGATTGAAAAAAAAGACTGAAAGGTTGTAACACTGAACTAAATTAAATAAGTTGAAATTTAGTAGGCAGAAAAATGAAATTATACTTGAATTAGAAAAAAATGAACTTTTGTCCTGAGCGATGATCTATAGGGCTTAAAATAAATCTACACACTGTCACCCAGGACTTTAGGTTTTCTTCTGTCCAGCGCAGTGTCAGGTATTATGTGCACGCTTGTGGGGCCTCCACTTGCCAATATCCCCATAGAGATGCCTGTGAGAATAGTACAGCTTCCCCTGCTCTGGACCTGCCCTCACCACCCATTTGTTCTTCTGAGACAGTTTCTGGCTCTGTTACCTATCTTATATCTAACTGTGGCATGGCTAGGCATTCATCTTAAGAAGAATGGCTTTTTTTTTGGTGCATTGTAAGTTCAATGCTAATGCCATCCTAGGCTAAGTTGCACTTAGCTGTCAAACAAAAGGCTCCTCTTCATTGCCTAGTAAGGAGGGAGGAAGCAGGCACAGAAATCTCCATATGATCTGAAGCAGAGAGCTAGGCACCTCCATTCTACTTACCGTAAACTTCCAATGTGGGCTCACCCAGCCACCATGGGAGGATTGCATCAGGCAGAGAATATCTTCATGCTCCTAAGGAATGGGCTCTCATTGGCCAGTGCCCTGTTACATTAATAAAAAAATAGAGGTTTAGGACATGAAAATGATTGGCTCAAAGTCAAGTCAAATCATGGCAAGCATTTACATGCTTACTATATGCTAGACATTGTGCTAAGTACTGGGAATATAAATATAAGGAAAAAGAAAGATAACCCCTGACCTCAAGGAGCTTAAATTCTAATGGGGAAAGACAATGAATGGATAGATGGGGGCTGAAAAGTGGGACTGAGGGTAGTAATTAAGTCCAAAGAATGAAGGATGGCTGGTCTGGGCCCTCCCTCCAAATGGTGTTTTTGAGAAGAACTCCCCAGTGGAAGAAGGGGGGCTGTAGGGGTGAAGGGAGAAGGGAGCTGAAGCATGGTGGCAAACAAAGTTAATAGTAACCGAGCCTGAACAAGAATCTGAGTCTAGTATACTCTGTTGTCTCCCAATGTTCATTACTTAAGAGGCCTTTGATAACATAGGTGGGGCCATTCTTTCCATCAATCACAGTCTCTTTATGCTGTAGTTGACAATCTTTACGAGAGACTTTGGTTGACATAATTCATTACCCTGTAACCAACTTGAAAGTGAGTCCCTCTGCCTCTCAGATTTATCTGGGCTGGATGGTAGCTGAAAAACATACAGTCCATTGCTTGGTTCCTACTTGAAGCCTTTCCAGCTTGGCATAGGACCTGAAGAATTTATATTCTGATGGCATAGACTTTGAAACCCCAGGACCATTTCTGCACCATCATGAAGCATTAGAGTAGGGCTTTAGTGGAGGTGCTCAGTAATAGGATCAATAATAATAAAATGTTTGCTATCCCTTATGATCCCATTGACTACATGGTGGGGAATATTGGCAGTAAACTGACTCACTTCTTTCTTTTCTGTCACTGACAGCTTCTCTGTGCCCAAGGGATATGACTCGGACTCTTGCGTAGCTATTTTTGATATGAGGACCTGCTCTTACCGAATTATTTGGAAGACCTCCAAGCATCTACCCTGCAGAATCTTTTATAAAATTGATTAAAAATGATGGCTACACTTTGCTGTGTTTTTCTTGAGTTAACCTCCCCTCACCTGAGGAAAAGTTGTAATTCCAGATTCCTTTCCCAGCTCCTGGTGTTTTGTTTTGTTTTGTTTTTTGAGACCAACTGAATTACTTTTCATTTTCTCTTTTCTCATAATAATGTTCCACTCTGCTTTTAATCCATTAAAAATATCATGTGTCCAAGGTTGAGTTAAAATAATTCAGGTCAAACCAAATATCTCTTAGCTTATGTTCTTTGACTATGACTTGAAATGAAGTGAAAAATTAATGTGCTTATCTGGTTAATTTAGGCAAGTTAGGGATTTGGCCTGAACCATACTGCCTTATAGGGTTGAGTTTTAACATGTAAGTCAGAAATTATGCTTACATGGATGTTTAACAGATATTTTTTCATTGTTCTCCCTGTCCCATTAATTATAGCAATCTAGTTTGTACTCACAAAATTAGAGATTTAAGTGAGTTTGTATATATGTATATAGTTATTCCTTCCACATCATGATTTTCCCTATTGCGGTTTTGATATATCTCGGATTGGCACAAGAAATTAAATGAGAATTTTTTGGGAGTTTTGTGGAAGCTATAGATGACATTCGAAGGCCAGCAGATGACACAGAAAAAATATTTTTAATTAACATTGACTTACATATAGCCTATGACCAAATACTTAACCAAAACTTTATAATAAGGTACTGTAAACATCTCATAAAAGAAAAAGAAAAAATTCAGACTTCTCTGGTATGAAGGGAGGGCCAAAAAATTTTATGCAGATTTTTCCAGATTGCGGGAGTGCCGTGCCCCTAACACCCACCGTATGAAAGGGATAACTTATATTTAAATATATTTATACATATTCTTATATAAATATAAATATATACATATACATACAAATACATATACTTTCTCTATACATATCATGTAAGAGGCAATATAGTACAGTGCATAGGATAGGCTTAAGTTCAGGGATGATTTCATTTTTTCTTTGTATCTTCAGCCCGAGCACAGTGCCTGGTACATATAGTAGAAGGTTCTTACTCAATGTTTGTTGTTTGCCCATTCGATCATGAGTCTATATCATTCTCATCTTCACTGACTCTAAAGCAGCCATGCTTCTCACACATACAATAACTAGTCTAGAGCAAAGCCTAATTCCACTGAGTCTTCTGCTCAAGCCTCAGGATTCCATGGCATAGTTAGCCAGATACGATTAAAATGTTCTGTCTATGGGCCTCTTGGAGAATGATAAGATGCAGTCCTAGGTTGCCTTATTCTTTGAGTAGCTTGCTATCCACATCTGAACTCTGATTGGATTGAATTGTAGCAGGGAAACCGTTCATTGAAAATATTTCTCCCACAATACCTTGGTCCTTCTGCTTCCCAGTTGGTTAGGCTTGTGGGTGTGGGTGACATGGTTTGTCATCACTAAGATGTTGCTTAGGTTCTTATCTCTTTCCAGAGACAAGAAGTCTCTGCACACTAGCTCCAAAGGCTTGTTGCTGGTTATCAAGGAGGTAGCTCAAATTGGTAGCACTTTCCTCCAGACATATAGGGCACCATCCTCGTCCTTCATATATATGTCCATTGTCATTTTGTCCACCTAAAACACTGCCTCATTTAGTCTTTCCTGATATGTCATGGGCTCAAAGCCTTTCTTTGTATTTGTAGGGCTTAGCACAGTGCCTGGCACATTGTAAACACAATAAATGCTGGTTGACTTGACTTGACTTCTCCATCCTGGCTGCCCACCTTTGAATTCTTGACAGCTTATTGAACAACCAATAAATGTTTATCAAGAGCCTGGTTTCTCTATGTCAGGCATGTTAGGAACTATGGTTGCAAATACAGCTTACAAGGAGCTTACATTCTTACAGTGAGAGACAACAAGCACATATATATGTGAGTGTATAAAAATACAGAATAAAGAGAATAAATAAAAATAAAAACAAAGTCATTAAATACAAGGTAGTTAGGGAGGAAAGGCACTAGCATTTGGAGGGGGGAACAGGAAAAGCTTTAAGTAGATTAGATGGAGCTTGAATTGTACCTTGAAGAAAGGGAGGGATTCTATGAGACACAGGTGAAGAGGGAGTGCATTCCAGGCATGGGGACAATTAGTGCAAAGGCATAGAAATGGAAGATGGAATGTCATAGGGAAAGAACAGACAGAAGGTGAATACAACTGGAATGCAGGAAACAGAGCAACATATAATGAGTCTGGGAAGATGGGTTGGAGCAAGATGGTAAAGAGCTTTAAGAGTTGACCAGAGGAGTTTCCCTTTTATTCTAGAGGCAATTGGGAGCCACTACAGTTTATCGAGTGGGGAAGTGACTTGGTCTTTGCCTAGGGCAAAGACTTTGGCAACAGGACGTAAGATGGATTGTGGCTGCTAGAACTGAATTCTGTACTCTAGATGTACTCTTCCCAGACCAGAGGATGGTGGAACTCTTACTTCTCTATTTCTGGGTGGTTTTTTTCCCCCTCAGTGCAGCCTAGAGTTGCATTAGCTTTTTCACCTGCTATATTATACTGTGGATGCATCTTTAGTTTCCAGGCCATAAACAAACAAACAAAAACCCTATAAGTTTTTTTTCATACTTGTAAAGTTGATTTTTTAAAATCCACACGAGACTTTATATTTATCCCTTTTGAGTTTCATCTTATGAGATTTAGGCTAGACCATCAAGATCTTCTTGGAGTCTTACTCTGTCATCGAAGGAGTTAACTTTTACTCCCAGATTTGTGTTGTTGGCAGTTTTGATAAACACACTATCTTTGACTCACCGATTAAAAAAAATTCCCACTTGCCCAAAGTGCATCAAAATATTTTAGCAGTAGCCACTCTGAGCTAACGGGAAGAGACCCCTTACTTTCTTACTTCTGTGTCACCACAAAGTGGAGTTGGTCTAAAGCCATTCAACCAAAATAAATGAGATCAGTGCTAGCTACTGATGCCTTGGGAACACAGGTATCTCTCCCCAAATGGAGATTTACAGAAATTGCTTCTTTAGGAACAAGCTGTGCCTTGGGAACAATTGAAAATTAAACATGTGAAAGCTATTTTTTCAGATGACTTTCAACAGCTCAAAGGGGAAAAACGAAACAAAACAGAAAAATTCAGGCAAAGTGGCCAGGCTGACAGCCATTTGTGCCAGGATTTTTTTCACCCATTGGCTAGTGTGGCACAATGAAAACATCCTCCATCTTACTGCCGCCTCTGCATCATGGTTTCAAACATCAACAAGCAACGCTGGCCAGATGTGGGCACTACATTTCGGGAATGGCCCAGACAATACTGGATCATGTTCAGAGGAGAATGACAAGGAATGTCACCTGGTGATTCTTTGAAAAAAGCTAGGAATGTTTCTCTTGGAGAAGAGAAGTTAGATGGGGACATTGTAGATCTTGTTAAAGATCTGAAGGACTCACTTGTGGAAAAGGCTTGATCTGCTTGGCTTCGGGGTGGGAGTGGGGGCCAAATCCAGAAGCAATGCTTGGGAGTTGCAGAGAGTTAGAGGATAAAGACAACAGTAGCTTTCCAATTGATCTTCCTACCTCCAGTCTTTCTCTTCTCTAGGCTGACCTTCATGTAGCTGCTAAAGCAATCTTTTTAATGAATGGGTCTGTCTACATATGGCTCAACAGGAAGAAGGACTTTCTAACAATTAAAGGTACTCAATAATGAAATACTGCCACTGGAAGTAACAAGTTCTCTGTCACTGGAGGATATTATTATTAGCTGCTAAATGGTATCTATGAGCAATTTCACAGAGGGGATTCCTGATTCCAAGTAGGAGTTGGACATGACTGACCTCTAAGGTTCCATTAAACTCTAAGGTTTGAAAATATAGAAAGCCAAAGAGAACATTCAAAGGGTCTTTTATTCACAACAAGAGAGAATGCATTGAGTGAGACCTGTTTTAGGAGGCCATCAGTGGGGCTCATTTCTCATGGATTTGTGGAATTTCCTTAAGAGGTTTTCTTTTTTTCTTTTTTCCTTTTCTTTCCTTCCTTCCTTCCTTCCTTCCTTCCTTCCTTCCTTCCTTCCTTCCTTCCTTCCTTCCTTCCTTCCTTCCTTCCTTCCTTCCTTCCTTCCTCCCTCCCTCATTCCTTTCTTTCTCTACCAACATCAATCCTCAAAGATTGTTAGATGAAGTTAGAAGGCAAAACGTTTCCTTTTGTGATTTTCTAGTTCTTTGGCTCCAATTATCTGGAAACCCCAACCTACCCGGCACTGTCTTAGGAAGACTAACTTCCTGGTGCTGTGACCTCTGCCTTTCGCCAACAGAAGCCAGATGTGTGAATGAATATGATTGTGTTCATGGGAACTGAAAAATTTGCCCAGGTGAAACCTGCTTTTGAGAATCACAGAATCTCAGTGTTGGAAGAAAACTCGAAGGTGTTGTATTACGAAATCATCCATATAGAATTGGAAGAGGTTTTAGAAGTCATCAAATCCAGTCCTCCTCATTTTATGTATGAGAAAACTGAGATCGGAAAAAAAAAACAATAAACCTTTCTAGGAGTTCACAGTTCAGTTTGAAGAGAGGCAGCTAGGAGGTTGAGTAGATGGCCTGAGTTGGAGTCAGGAAGATCTGAATCCAAATCTGGCCTTAGACACTAGCTGTGTGACTCTTGGCAAGGCACTCAATCTCTGTCTGCCTCAGTTTCCTTAACTATAAAATGAGAATAGTACCTACCTTCCAGGGTGGTTACAAGGATCAAATGAGATAATATTTGTAAAGAGCTTAATCCAGTGTCTGGCACATAGTAGGAGCTTAATAAATGCTTATTCCCTCCCTCTTTGGGGAGACCATCCAGCAGGCTATTGCAATAGTCTAGACGTGAGGTAGTGAGGACCAGATCAGGTATTGTCAGAGGAGAGAAGGGGGCATACACGAGATGTTATAAAGGTAGAAATGATGGGACTTCACAACTGATTGGATATGAGGGTGATAGAGAGGAAGGAGTCAAGGAGGATAC